GAGACTTGGAATGCACAGAGGAACGAGCTGAGTTGGTAGAGTCCCATTGCCGAGAGATGGATGAGCAGATCAGACTGATGGACCAGAACCTCAAGTGTCTTGAGTGCTGCTGAAGAAGAGTACTCTCAAAAAGACAAATATGTGAAAGAGATCAAGATTCTTACTGATAAACTCAAGGAGGCAGAGACCTGTGCTGAGTTTGCTGAGAGTTCGGTAGCCAAGCTGGAAAAGACAACTGATGACTTGGAAGATAAACTGAAAAGGCACCAAAGAGGAGCACTCTGTACACAAAGGATGCTGGACCAGACTCTGCTTGACCTGAATGAGATGTAGAGCACCCCAGTCCCACCCTGCTGCTGCTCCTCCCTCTGACCCTGATTCCACCTGAGGCCAGCCTGCCTGAAGCTGACCTTTAACTGAGGGCTGATCTTTAACTGGAAGTCTGCTTTCTCCTTTTGCTGCCCCCACCTCCCCTGTGTCTTTTTCGCTAGACTGTCTCTGCCTCTTCCCAGAGATTCCAGCTGGGCTAGAGACTGCACACCTTTGGGAACAACATTTAAGGGAATGTGAGCACAATGCATAATGCCTTTAAAAGCATGTTGTGATGTTCACATTTTGTAGTACCTTTTTTGTTGTTTTGTGGCAACCATTTGTAAAACATTCCAAATAATTCCACAGTTCCAAAGCAGCAATCTGTTCCTTTCTCACTTTTGGAAAGTGATTTTTCAGCTTGATGCATATTGCCCTTTCCATAGAGAAAAGGAAAAGGTATAGTCCTGCCTTACTGAGAGCCAAGCAGAGCCCAGAGAAAGAATCCACTATGGGAAACCTCATTGCTCTATAAAAAGTACCAGCCAAACCAGAAAGGTGATTCCAGGAGGAGTTAGCCAAACAACAACAAAAACAAAACAAAAATGTGCGTTTCAGGTTTTCAGCTTTAAGATATCTTTGGACAACCTTATTTGTTTTTTTTGTTTTTTTTTCATTAGAAGTGAAAATTAAATTGGTAAGACCTCTGAAACTAAATTTTTGTCCCATCTCTACCCACTCTCAACTGACTGCAGAATGGATCATGTGCCCCTTATGTTGAGGTGACCACTTAATTACCATCCTCCCTTCTTGAAAGATGATGTTTTGCCACTGATTTAGCCTTATGAAACTCATCTCATTATCCTTTTCTGGGTTTGAAGCTGCTCTCTCTAAAAGTTCTGTCTCAATGTGGTTTGTATCGGAGAAAACTTGAATAGGTTATGTACAAAACTTTTAAAGTTTTTTATTATTTTGAAGCTTTGCTTCTTTGTGTTTATGGCACCGTGGCCACCCTGTCTGGCTGTGACAGTCTGTACAGTGTGTGGGTTGGCAGTTTGCTGATCTTTTAAAGTTTCTTTCCCTACCCAATCCCCATTTTCTGGTAAGGTTTCAATGAGGTCTGTTAGGTATACATCCTGCAGCTTTTTGGCTTAAAATATACACTCTTTTGATGTGGTCTCTTTGGGGCCAGTTGGGAGAAAGACAAATCAATAGTGCAACTCTTTTGATACCAGATATTGGCACAAGTGTCTTTTTGAAATAAAGAACCGGTCCCTCCAAAAAACAAAACAAAAAAGGCTTGATACAGGCCAAAGTAATACTACTTTAAAAATTTTGTCCAGGCGTGGTGGCTCACACCTGTAATTCCAACACTCTGGGAGGCTGAGGTAGGCAGATCACCTGAGGTGGGCAGATTACCTGAGGTCAGGAGTTCGAGGCCAGCCTGGCCAACATGGTGAAACCCCATGTCTACTAAAAATACAAAAATTACCAGCGTGTGGTGGCAGGCACCTGTAATCCCAGCTACATGGGAGGCTGAGCGTGAGAATCTCTTGAACCCCGGAAACGAAGGTTGCAGTGAGCCGAGATTGCACCATTGCACTCCAGCCTGGGGGATAGAGCGAGGCTCTGTCTCAAAAACAAAAACAAATTTGCTTCCTGACTTTTCTCAGTTCTGCCCTTTTTGGTGTTGGATTTCTCCTTATGATTCGTACTGTGTCACTCCTCAGTCTGCCTTGTGTGTTGCTCCATTCTAATTCCAGATTTTTCCTTTGTGCTCACGCAATGACTGTGAATGTTTTAGGCCTTGCTTCCTAATACCACACAAGGGAAGAGAAAGGATCCCTTTCTGAAGATTCCCTGGAGAACAAGTTTGGTTTTTTTTCCCCCCACATACCCAAGTAAATAGCTCCGTAGATTTTTGGCCCTAAGTCATGTATCTTATCTGTTCTTTGGGGTGGAGAGTGGGGTGTGTGTGTGTGTGTGTGTGTAAAAGCTGATTAATTTAAACCAGTTTGGATTTACCCTTGGGATGGGCATGGGATTAAGTCCCTCTCAACCACATGACTGAAAGTGAGAAAAGTTTTGTTTCACAGGAAATTTTTAGGTACCATCTCCAAAGAAGAGGGAACAGATGCCAGGTAGTCAAACTACAGGGGACTATGGCATGACCTCATGTTTTTTCTACTAAACATTAATGGTACCTTTTAAATTATGATCTGTTTCTGCATTTTCTCTTTTCTTCCACCAACAGTCTATGAGGGTATTCATTTGATGATTTTTTTCTCAGAAACATACTGCTTCAATAATAGTTGCTAAGAGTACATGTTAATATATTTTAAGTAAGTCTCCCATCATTTTTTTTTCCTAGAAATTTCTTGGCAATTTTTATATATTTATTTGATACAAACTTTGGGATCCTGATTGGAATTACATTATATATATTTTTAACATGGAAATCCAAGTTAGATAAACGTTGACTATGGAAATCAGCTTGGAAATGCTCAACAGTTTCTTCTACAAAAGGCTTTTCTTTCCTTTGTTATTGTTCACCAATGTTTTGGGGGGATGAAAACCTTCTCTGTAGTTTTCGATCCTGGACACTTTCACAGTACCAAAAGACAGTGGACTCATGTCCCAGCTCTCCCCAGCAAACTCTTTAGATAGACTAAGAATCCAACAGCCTCTTCTAGTAGGCTTATTTTTGGTTATTGAGTAGCATCAACAGATAACTGAGAGGAAAAAGAGCTGGAAATGGAAGGTAAACTGCCTTAAACCTCAGGTATTATGAGAAATTTTTAAAAACCATTTAAGGATGCCACACATCTCCAGAGACTCTAGACCACTGTTTCCATTTCATTGCTTCCATATGAACTTTCTCTGTGTTTGCTTGCTACCTAATTTTTTTCTTATGTGAAGTATAATATTTTGTCTAATGATTTTGTTATTTTCCTTAGATGTAGAAACATTATCTTTTAGTATTATAGCACTATTTTAAAATATTTGATTGGTGCAAAATTAATTGTGGTTTTGCACCAACCTAATACTATAGCTCTTAGTCTTATGCTAATACTTGATTTTTAACAATATTTTTCCTATTACTGTACTTTTGTGTTCTACATTTTAATACTGCTCTTATTCCGAAACTCATTTAAATATTATCCAACTGTTTTGGTTTTTTTTTTTTTAGATGGAGTCTCACTCTGTGCTCCGGGCTGTCTGGGCCAACTTCTTGGTCTTTTTGTAATTCCTGTTATATAAAAACTAAAGGTTGATTATCAGAGATAAACATTTTATTTAATTTTATGCTAGTCAATTTATAATTTGATATTTTATACTGAACTCTTTTTTTTTTTTTTGAGACCCAAGTCTCCTGTCACCCAAGCTGGAGTGCGGTGTTGCGATCTTGCCTCACTGCAACCTCTGCCTCCCAGGTTTAAGTGATTCTCTTGCCTCAGCTTCATAAGTAGTCGGGATTATAGACACGCACCACCACCCCTGGCTAATTTTTGTATTTTTAGTAGAGATGGGGTTTCGCCATGTTGGCCACGCTGGTCTCGAACTCCTGGCCTCAGGTGGTCCGCCCGCCTCAGCCTCCCAAAGTGTTGGGATTACAGGCGTGAGCCATTGCGCCTGGCCTATACTAACTCTTTAATGCATATGATTCCATTTGGTGTATATCAAAAAGCATGCATCTAATTTATAGTTCTCTTTCCTCTTTCTTAATATGTGACTAATTATTTTAAACAAAAACCCAACATTGGGCTCAGTGGTGAAATATGGGTGCTGTTCTCTTAAGAAAGGCACAGGCCAGGCATGGTGCCTCACGCCTGTAATCTACTTACTTTGGGAAGCCAGAGTGGGAGGATGCTTGTGCCCAAGAGGTTGAGGCTGCAGTGAGCCACGTTCATGCCACTGTCCTCCATCCTGGGTAACAGAGTGAGACCCTGTCTCAAAAAAAAAAAAAAAAAAAAAAGGCAGAGGGACAAATGAATACCCATTTAATAATTTTTTATTGCTGTTTGTTTTGTTAGATAAGTACAAAAAGACAGGAAAATGAAATATGATTACAATTAAGAAAATAATACATGTATATTTTTCTATAGATTATTATATACCTGAAATTCTAGTAAAGATGATACATAGAATTAATAAACATTTAACCAAGTTGCTACATATAAAATAAATATTCAGAAGCGTACTTAATACCTTTTTGAGTGATCTCATGATAGGTTTTAATACAAGAGACAATGGCAATGTGTTAGTTTCACAACTAAGATTCAATCTGGTGCAGCAGTATGCAAGGGAATTAATACTGTTTGTTTGAATCTGTGTGTGTTTGTGTGTGTTCTTTTTTCTCATTTTACCACTGGACATTTGTAAAGCTTGTGCTAAATAGAATGTTTACAAAATATGTTTGTAATACTTCTGTATTTTTCTTGACTTAAATGTTAGATACTGGATCAGCATTAAGGAGTTACTATTTTGTAGATACATGGGAATGATTTTTACATCCATTTTCTCCATGGCAGCCCCTTTCTATATTGGTAAACTTTTTATAGTTTATAAGACATGTTTAAGTCAAAGGAGTATTGACTAATTAATTTTATCTTGAGTAAGTGTTACATAGGATATTGAGAGACAGAAGTTAATTGTTGCGTCCCTCATCACATCTCCTCTTTGTTTTGCAGTGGGACTTCTCCTCTTGCATGCCTGAATGCAATGCTTCACACAAACTCCAGAGGTGAAGAGGGCATCTTCTATAAGGTTCCAGGTAGAATGGGAGTATATACTTTGAAGGTAAATATTTTGTTGGGGAGTCATTTAAAAAGAAAAAACAGGAAGTGACCACATATAAATATTTGACTCATAGGGACAGAATTCTGTTATTGAAGAGCTTATTTTCAGAAAGAGGTAATATTTTGAAACCTGCACCCAGTACATTTTTTAAAAACTATAACTATAGGTAGATCAGAGAAGTAACTTTATTTTTTATTATTGATGATAATCTTATCTTGAAAGAATGAAATTAAAATGATTTCCGGCCAGGCGTAGTGGCTCATGCCTGTAATCCCAACACTTTGGGAGGCCAAGGTGGGCAGATTGCCTGAGCTCAGGAGTTTGTGACCAGCCTGGGCAACACAGTGAACCCCATCTCTACTAAAATATAAAAAATTAGCCAGGGCGTAGCGGCGTGTGCCTGTAGTCCTAGCTACTCGGGAGGCTGAGGCAAGAGAATTGCTTGAACCCAGGAGGCGGAGGTTGCAGTGAGCCAAGATCACGCCACTGCACTCCAGCCTGGGCAATAGAGTGAGACTTTGTCTCAAAAAATAAAATTAAATAAAATTAAATAAATAAATAAATAAAATGACTTCTAGTGACCTTTTAAGGGGCCCCACAACATTTGTATAATAATTGTTTCTTTGGAGCATTCTGCCTAGATGGTTCACATTACATTCTCAGTTCATTCTCTACCACAATTCACAGTTGGGGTGAATACCATTTAATAATTTTTTATTGCTGTTTGTTTTGTTAGATAAGTACAAAAAGACAGGAAAAAGAAATATGATTACAATTAGGAAAATAATACATGTATATTTTTCTATAGATTATTATATACCTGAAATTCTAGTAAAGATGATAAATATTCCTTTTGTATAATGGAGAGCCCCCACAACATTTGTATAATAATTGTTTCTTTGGAGCATTCTGCCTAGATGCTTCACATTACATTCTCAGTTCATTCTCTACCACAATTCACAGTTGTGGTTATTATTCCTTTTTTAATAATGGGGAAAGTCAAAGTTCAGACTTTGGATTTTCTTGCCCAGTGTTGCCCATATTGTATCAGAACCAGTATAGGAACCCAGATCTGACTGAATTCCCAAGCCCATATTCTTTCTAACATAACAAGCTTGCTAATTTCTTTCTTTTTTTTTTGACAGTCTCGCTCTGTTGCCCATGCTGGAGTGCAGTGGCGCAGTCTCAGTTCACTACAACCTCTGCCTCCTGGGTTCAAGTGATTCTCCTGTCTCAGCCTCTCCAGAAGCTGGGATTACAGGTGCCCACCACCACGCCCAGCTAATTTTTGTATTTTCAGTAGAGGTGGGGTTTCACCATATTGGTCAGGTTGGTCTCAAACTCCTGACCTCAGGTGATCCACCCGCCTTGGCCTCCCAAAGTGCTGGGATTACAGCCGTGAGCCACTGTGCCCAGCCTTCAGGCTTGCTAATTTAAAATTCCTGCACTGAGAAGGGACCTTTACTTATCAATAACTTTTCACTTACAAACTGTAAAATGAACTCAAATGAGTTTGAGTAAGACAATTTATTAGTTTATGTAACTGAAAATTCTAAGGAAACCCAGGCTGGATCCAGAAGCTCAGTTGACATCATCAGGGTTTGGTGTCTCCACTTGCTTTTGGCTTCATTCTCAGTCAGTCTCTCCTCATCATATATAACTTCACCCCCAACCTGCACTCTGCAAGCTGTAAATCTGAAAAGAGATAAGAACTAAAGCAGGAGCCTCTGACTTTATTCTGATTTGGCTTAATTGGTTTGGCTTCGCCCACATGAGTATAGCTGAATTATCATGCTTGTCAAAAGTATGTAGTCTTGTGATTGGCCAGTTGTAGATGTGGTTGAGATTAAGCTTGCTCAAGCCGGATGAATTGAGGAGAGTGAGTTTTCCCCAAAGGAAATTTATCAGCTGAAGGGGAATGAATGTTTGGTAGACAGAGACTGTGTCCATGTATATATGTGTTACCTTTTTAGCTTTGAGCTGTAGTCATCACTATGTCCAATGGTTGTGTGGAGCCTAACATTAGAAAGCTCTAACTTATTTACCTACCTACCTACATGCCTCCTTTTTATATACTTTTTTGAACTTTGTAGGGTTACAGGGCTTTATTCTCACATGGAACTTTCTGTATTTCTTTTTGGTTTTAGCTGTTCTAGACCTTCCATACTGTTTAAAAAATTTATTAAGTTCCTATTCTATTGTAGAGATTGGGAAAAAAAAATACTAAAGTGTTTTCCCTATTCTCATACACCATTAAGTACAATAGTTCTAACACCAGATGTGTGGATGTTTCTCCTCACATACCAAGCAATTCTCCAGCAGACATCAGCTGAATGTCCTTTAACAATTAGAGTTCCAGTCTGTGGCCCATTAGAAACCCAGCTGCACAGCTGGAGGTGATTGGTGGGCAAGCAAGCATGACTGCCTGAGTTCTCTCTCCTGTCAGATCACTGGCGGCATTAGATTCTCATAGGAGTGCAAACCCTATTGTGAACTGCACGTGTGAGGGAGCTAGGTTGTGCGCTCTGTATGAGAATCTAATGCCTGATGATCTGAGGTGGAACAGTTTCATCTGAAACCATCCCTCACCCTCACTCCCTAACCCTTCTGTGAAAAAAAATTGTCTTCCACAACTCCAGTCCCTGATGCAGAAAGGTTGGGGACCACTGCTCTAATTCAACTCCATTCTGATGCTATCTATCTATCTGTCTGGAGACAGTGTCAGATTCCACAGGTTGAGGGCTCGGTACCCTCCCATCCCCTTCAAATGCCAACTGTTGCAAATCCCAGGTTGTCACCAGTACTTCTGACTGTTTGGTTATATAATTGAGGTTCTCTCCTTGGGTTTGATTAGTTTGCTAGAATTACCCACTGAACTCAGAAAAGTGCTTTACTTACATTTACCCATTTATTATAAGGATATTACAAAAGATACAGATGAATGGCCAGATGGATAAGATACTTAGTGTGAGGTTTGTAAGAAGGTACACAGAGCTTGTGTGCCCTCCCCGGGCTTACCACCCTCCGGGAACCTCCATGTGATCAGCTAAATCATTCATTCATTCATTCATTCATTTTGAGATGGAGTCTCGCTCTGTTGCCCAGGCTAGATTGCAGTGGTGCAATCTCAGCTCGCTGCAAGCTCTGTCTCCTGGGTTCAAGCAATTCTCCTGCCTCAGCCTCCAGAGTAGCTGGGATTATAGTTGCCTGCTACCTCGCCTAGCTAATTTTTTGTATTTTTAGTAGAGACAGGGTTTTGCCATGCTGGCCAGGCTGATCTCGAACTCCTGACCTCAGGTGATCTGCCTGTCTTGGCCTCCCAAAGTGCTGGGATTGCAGGCATGAGCCACCGTACCTGGCCGTGATCAGCTAAATCTCAAAACTCTCAGAACCCAATCCTTTGGGTTTTTATGAAAGCTTCAGTACACGTGACTGATTAAATTATTGGCCATTGGTGATCAGCTCCACCTTCAGCCTCCTCCCTCCCTGAGATTGGGGAGTGAGTGAAAGTTCCAACCCTCTAGTGAAAGTTCTCACACAGTTGGTTACCCTGGAAACCAGCCCCCATCCTGAGACTATGCAGTAGCTCACCAAGAGGAAGAAAAGATGCTTCTATCACCCAGGAAATTCCAAAGGGCATAGGAGCTATGTCAGATGCTCCTTTTACTCAGGAAATTGCAGAGGTCTTAGGAGCTCTGTGTCAGAAGCTGGGGTCAAGACCAAATATAAGAGCAGAAGATTCTACTAGTAGCACTATTGCTTAGGAAATTGTAACAGCTAAAAAGAGCTCTAGGCCAGGAACTGTAGTCAGGAACCAAATATATAGGCCAGGAAGTGTAGTCAGGAACCAAATATATATTTCAGACTATATCACAATATTACCTCTGTGCTGGACACTATAGAGGCTGTAAAGAGGGGTAAGCTGTGGCCCCTGATCTCTTGAAGTTCACATTATAGTTCCTAAAATAATTGCATACTCTCAAAATGTTCTGTGTTTTTAAAAATAATGTGATAATATAGAAATAAGAATTAATTTTGAATAAAGGAATGTGGAAGTTTTTTGTTGTTGTTAACTTTTCAGATTTGAGCTGGACTTTGTCAGATAAGTGATAAGGGCCTTCCAGGACATGGGAATAGCTTAAGCAAGGGCACAGTTGGAAAGATTCAGAGTGGACTTGAAAGTAGAGTAAATTGGAGTGATTAGACCATAATCTTTGCGTGGGCTTAAGTGGTAAAGATTCCAGTGTGGTAAACGTTATGTAGAGATCAAACACTGGAGGCCTTTGAAAACCTGACTGAGCAGTTTGTGTATGGGTTATGGGGTGGTAGATGTCACAAGTTTTTCAGGAGAAAAGCATAATCAAATCCAAGTTTAAGAGGATAACTAGTAGGATAGATTTAAGAGTGAAGCAGGAAGATTTGTCAGAAAGGTGATTATGGTTGTTTGGAAGAAATACTCAGAGCCTGAATTAAGAGACTAGTAAAAGAGATGGAGACAAGGGACATTAGAGGAATAAATAAAATATGTGGCATTTGGAGTGGGTAAAAGGGGCTGAAATGATTCTAGAATTTGGGGCATGAGCAATTGATCCTGTACGGATCACAAATTTTAAGAAAAGAAGATAATTATATTTATATTTCAGATACTTGTTGAACCTACAAGTCAAGATGTCTGGCTGACAACTAACTCTATAAAAGCTGTCCTGCATTTTGAAGGAAAGAATAGAAAAATATGGGGTGTGTATATTAAGAAAGTGTGTATAACATAAGAGACAGCTCAGAGAGAAATGGCACTAGAACATAAATGAAAAATAGCTAACTTAACTAGATCAAAATTTATAGTCTTGGCTATAATGTCATATGGGTGTCAGTTTTGTGTAGGAGGGTCACATTTTTTGTCTGTCAGAATTATTTTTTATCTGATTATTAAAACAATGTGGGAAAATAAATTATTGGAGGAAAAAAAAACCACTGATAGTTTTATAGCTTAGAAATAACATTCACAGGCTAGGTGCAGTGGCGCACGCCCATAATCCCAGCACTTTGGGAGGCTAAGGCAAGAGGATTGCTTAAGCTCAGGAGTTCAAGCCCAGGACCAGCCTGGGGAACATAGTAGGACCCCGGATTTATAAATAATTTAAAAAATTAGCTGGGTATGGTGGCACACACCTGTAGTCCCAGCTACTCCAGAGGCTGAGGTGGGAAGATTGCTTGAGCCTAGGAGGTCGAGGCTACAGTGAACTGTGATCGCACTACTGCACTACAGCCTGGGTGACAGGGTGAGACCCTATCTCCCAAAATAAAAAACAAAAAACCACAAACACTCACTAGTGTGTTTAGCCATACATGTGTATTTTTATATATTATGTAAACACATAGGACCTAATATTTTTTGACCTCTTATGTTGGGCACGATTCTAAGCATTTTACGTTTATTAGCTCATTTAACTTGAGCTAATTGAAGAATGAACTTTTAAGGCAGGTACTATTATCCCCACCTTGTAGATGGGGAAACTGAAGCATGAAAGGTTAAGATTTTAACCGAGGCTGTACAATTAGGAGAGGGTAAAGCCAGGTAATCTTGTTTTCTAGTCTTTGGTCTTGGAACTATCTTGTTATATCTCTCACATACTAAGCTGACATAGTTATCCTTTCTGATTAGCATTCTTTCTAGGTGCAGAAACCAAAGAGTTTCATATGATTTGTTAAATGATTTCTTTTTTTCTGTCAGGAAGGACCTTCATTAAAAAAAAAAAAAAAAAAAAAAAGATTTCTTTTTTATTTAATTCTTGCTACTTACTAACCAGTATTCAGGAACCAATTAGATTCAAATAATGCACTGTCCCTTATGTCTAGACTCTTATTCTGTAATTGAATTCAGAGTACTTAATGGTACTTACATATACACATGGACATACATATATTTAATGAAGTTATTTTATTTAGTTTTTTGAGACAGGATCTCACTGTGTCACCCATGTTGGAGTGCAGTAGTGGGATCACAGCTCACTGCAGCCTCAAACTCCCTGGGTTCAGGTGATCCTCCCAGCTCAGCCTCCCAAGTAGCTGGGACCACAGGTGCATGCCACTATACCTGCCTAATTTTTGTATTTTTTTTT